AATAAGACCAACTGTGTCCTATATATACCAGAGAGCAGAGAAACCTCCTTACTCCCCATTACAGGGGGCGGTGGAGTTTGCATATGGACCTGAAACTTTGTGAGGCAATTTCAGCTCTACCCAGATGAGATGAAGGAGATGCCCAGGTGCCTTGGATGTGCAATGCCAGTAAGGCTATTTGGTCTTGGCCAGCAACCCCCTGGCCTTCTCTAAGCAAGCATACGCCATCCCTGTGTTCCTATCAGCCGTCAGAAGAAGCCCCTATATGAGATGGCTGTATGAGGAACCAAATCCTGAGTCCTTTACTCAATTTTTATACAGGCAGATTCTCAGGGAAATGTCATCGTTTCATCGTTTCATAGATGTTAGGGGCTGGAAGGGACCTTGCAGATCATCAGGTCCAGCTCCGCTGCACTGGGCAGGGAAGACTGCTGGGGTCATTTGCCTGAGGATGAAGGATGGCTGTTCAATACGTGGCCTTAGGCATCAGGATTTGAATTTGATCTCAGACGCTGGCATAGACTTTTGATTTGGTCACTTAAATTTCCCCTCTGCCTCTGCTCCCCATCCGTAAAACAGAAGCAATAATAGGGAGCATTCAAGAAGATCAAAAGTTTTTCTGTTGATTTTCCCCAGGTTTCCAGCTAAATTATTCCAGTGGCCAACAGACACATACTTGTACTTTGCTGCTCGTTACCCCTATTTTCTTCTCTGGGTAGGCACCTCGTGCTCCCGTGCAACGCATTGGAGTCTCCCTTCATGGTAAGAGGGAGCCCTGTGGTATTGCTGCTTACAGCCATTATTGGAGATATAATCCCGCTGCAGATCCAGGTCCACATGGGAGGACGGGGACACGAGGAAGAAACCACAGCTTCCATTCTCAGCTGAAATATTTGAGTTTCTGGCTGAAACATTCGTGAAGAGCCTTTGGTTTTGGTCTTGCAGTAAGCCAACAGTTTTCAGTGAAAACCTTGTTTGATCAAATACTCATCTGTCCGTTGCAAAGCTATATCCTCAGAAAATCCTCAGCCCCTGGGGACCCTGGGGTCCCCTGACTCATGTCTATTTAGGCTGAAAGTTATCCTGGGGTGGACCTGTGTGTCTGAACGATGGTTACATGGAGGAGGGAGATAGATTATCTTTATGTGCCATGGACAGAACAAGGAGCGATGGCTTAAATTACAGCAAAGGAAATTGAAGTTAGATTCTGGAAAGAGCTTTCTCCATATGAGGGTGGTCAAGCACCCAGACCTGCTTGGAATAAGCTACCCACAGATGGGATAAAATCACAATCCTTGGAGTGGATTAGACAGACACTTGACTGGGGTGGTTTACCCAGGGACAACCTGCCTTGATCATCACACGTTGAACTAGATGACCTCCTGAGATCCCATCCAACCCTATTACTCCATGAGTCCGGAGCACTATATGCCATGCTCACAGTTGCAGGTGCTACAATAATAATATAGTAATACCATAACCCTAGTATTATTATATAATATAGAGAGTATTATTATATATTATGTAATATAGAGAGTATTATTATATCTTATATAGAGTATTATTATATATGATGCAATCGAGAGAGTATTATTATATATTACATTATATAGTATATTACTATAATAGTAATAGTAAAGCCTTCCCAGAATCTCAAAGTATAGATCTGCATGTGTGATGGACCTAGGTTTGTGCTCAAAAGGGAACCAGTGGCTCAGACTATTTGCATTGTTTGTATTAGAAACCAGTCGATTCTTCCATTAGGATTAAGCCGAATTGGTGCGAAATCATCATACACGAGTGCCATGGTAGTGCCCCCTGCTTTGGGGCGCCTGCTTGAATATTGGGTGGTTTGAGTCTCGTCCCATGCCGTTTCAGAGGCCGGAGGGAGACCCTCCGCCGAATTCGTACCATAGTTGGCTTGAGTGGCTTCTCTCATGTGGCGGAGAAGCAAGATGAGATAAAGCAAATTACCCAGCAGGAACAGGCAGAGATGAAAGCAGACATTTCGTAGCGTTTATTTTTAAACTAGGGTAAGAAAATTGAGTTCTTCCTTTTTTGAGACTCATTTCTCGTCTAGCCATAGCAGTTGTAATTAGATGCATTTCAGGAGTGTCAGGCAGTTAATATATTTAATCAAATCATTCACATAATTTAGCATGGCTTTCGCTGGGAACAGCTATGCTTTTAGTGTATAAACTGAGATGGAAGGAAGTTTGGCTTTTGCCACCTCAAACTCATCGGGTGTTTGTTAAGGGATTAGGAAAATGCTAATTTTCTAATTACCCCGAGATGCGGAAATAATCTTGCTAGCCGGTCGCTGTGGATGCAGCTATGGCAGTAGCTGCCTCATGTGAGAGCTGCATTGGAGCTGGCGGTAAGGGAGACGATGGCATTAATTTCTCCGAGGAATTTATTGCAAATATAAGAAAATAAGGAAAAAAGCAAAGACTCATTGCTGGAGCGGGGCCTGGTTGGTGGCAGGAGTCAGGACTCCTGATTTCTGTTCCCAGCTCTGCTACTGACCCAGTGTAACCGTGGCTTAATCTTTTGCTCTCGGTGTCTCCGTTTCCTCTGCTTTAAATATGGCATAAAAACACTAAAAGGCTTGGACCTGTAAGAGGACTAATGAGCCTGAATTAATTCCTGTTTGTAAAGTGCTTCCAGACCCCTAGTGGTAAGTACACAGTGTTATTTCTGATGTCGCCAGCTAAAAAAGAAGCGTTCGAACTCAGATGGATAGCATTAATCACACATGGCAAGGTAGAGCCGAAGCCGCTCGATGTGTAATTTGACACTGGATTTGGAGCATAACGATGTAGATGAATTCACGCCATCCAGACTCATCATTCATAGTCTGTGTGTCAGTGGCTGATAGGGCCCCCAAGCCGAGCCAAGCCGTCCTTCCCCGTCCCACCGAGACAAAACAGCCCCTTTTTGTTCTTCCGGTTCTGGGAACTGCTTATGATTTAACAGCAGGTGCATAACCGTGAGCTTGACAATCATGGCCTGGGTTTCTGCAATGACGTGTAGGGGTTATATGAGTTCATGCACAAATGAAAGCTTGCACGAAGGGTTTTCAGCGTCCCACATCCTCCAGGGCAGCTGCATGCGTAGCCAGGCAGTTAGGAACCTAACGGAGCATCCCCCATGCAGTTAGCTACCGGGATCGTCCCCAGGGGAGTGCATTTGAGTCAGTCCCATATAAAGAACCAGCCACAAGCGATGCACGTTCTGGTCTGAACCCAGGTCCCGAGGTCTCTGCTATACAGACATCGAAGATGGAGAACTTTCCAAGTTCTTCTCCAGCTTACGTTGGACTCGATATAAAGGATTGCAAATATAAAGAATTTTTATACATAGAAAGGATTTTTTTTTCTCTCTCTCTCTCCTTCCAGTTGTTCTTAAGTCCTGGTTAGGCATATGAAGAGAAATTTCCCACTCAAAGCCAGGCCCCGGACAACAGGAAGGCTTGCATTGGTCAGGAACCTTGTCTGCCTATGTCCTTAGACCAACACGGCTAAAACCTACACCCCTGCATTGGTCAGGACATTTGTTCTGCAGTTTTCTTTCTCTGGCTGCTGTCTGTACCTGCAAGCTCAGCAGCTTCAAGCAATTGTCAGTACAACTCAAAGTGGCAGCCGGCTTGTCTGGTGATTCCCAGCCCCATAGAGCCCGTGCAAAGGGTGTATAGTACATCCTATGGCAGAGATGCTCAGAGGCATGGGGAGGTAATGGCTTTGCTCAGGCTGAGATGACGAGTGACGGCACAGATGTGCACTGGGAGCCTTGCAAAGTCCCTCAGCCTCTCTGTCATTTTTAATATAGGGGTAGTACTTTTCTGCCCCACAGCCGACTTATGCCAAGTTCCTATATTTAAGCATCTAGATTCATAGATTCATAGATGTAGGGCCAGAAGGGACCTAAGTAGATCTTCAAATCTGACTACGTGCCTTTTGAAGTGACGGGATTGAGGCCCTTCCATAAAGGCATTTGGGCACCTAATGTGTATGTAGCTGCCCGTTTCTTTTGCATTCAATGGGAGTTGGATGCCTGAATGCCTCTCTGTATCCAGAGGTACAGGTTGTAGCCGTGTTGGTCTAAGGATGTAGGCAGACATGCTTCTTTGGGTAAATCTTTTATTAGACCAACTCAAATAGTTGGAAAAATTCTTCTTTGCAAGCTTTCGGGTATCAATACCCCATCCAGGCCTTAGTGTGCAGGAAGCGCTTTAAAACTCCTTCGAGGGAAGATAGTACAAGCAAAGCAGAGTCTGTTGTCAGCAGCATGACCCGTGGTTTCCCTGGCAGGTGCTGGCAGCCCTGTTCTTTATTGGGAAGTGTCTGTTGTGCAGCCACAGAATAGAAGTAACCCTCTTGCATTTTCTCTCTCTTCTCTTTCCAAAAAAAAGGGCTCGAGTGCCAGAGGCCAAAGCGTCAGAATTCAAGCGACGACATCGAGGTCCTCTCCACGGGGACCCCTCTCCAGCAAGAAAGCCCGGAGCTGTACCGGAAAGGGACCACCCCTTCAGACCTCACTCCCGATGACAGCCCCCTGCAAAGCTTCCCCGCCAGCCCCACCTCCACCCCGCCGCTGGGTCCCTCCTGCCGGAACAAGAGCGCCCATTTCTCCAGACAGGTCTCGGTGGACGAAGAGAGGGGTGGGGAGATCCAGATGTTGTTGGAGGGACGAGGCGGGGACTACTTAAGACCCAACAGCTGGAGTGAAGACAAAGCAGGTGGGACTCGTGGCATTAGAAGTGGGGCCCTGCGCAGCGGTCACCTGGGGTCCTCCTCCATCCCTGAAGACTACAGAGGCCGGAGCGGAGGACACAAACACATGGCCTCCAACCACAAGCAAAGAGAGCGGTGGACAGATTCCCCAGCCACGGTTTCTTGGACTTCCCACCATCGGCCCCACAACCACAGCTCAGGGAGCTCCAAGCTGCTTGAGCTGGACGAGGAGAAGATGAGCAATTACGAGATGGAGATGAAGCCCCTCATGAGGATGGATTCTTATATGCAAGAGATTCACACCCAAAAAAGACACTATAGCAAAGCCGGCCCCTGCAGGAGCCTGGCGGAGGACCACCGTGGGGAAGACCGGGGCTTCGGGGTTCAGAGATTGAGGTCTAAGTCCCAGAACAAAGAGAATTTCAGGCCAGCTTCCTCTGCCGAGCCGACGGTGCAGAAACTGGAAAACCTGAGGTTCGGTGACAAAGGTGAACCCCGGCTACTACGGTGGGACTTAACCTTCTCCCCGCCACAGAAATCCTTACCTGTTGCACTAGAATCCGAGGAGGAGAACGGGGATGAGCTCAAATCCAGTACGGTAAGTGGGCAAGTCGCGTGTATTTAAACCGGGCTGCGAAAGTGGAGGCCTGGGTGAGGCTGAACTGGTTGTGAACCATCGGTGCAAAATTGGCTCCCCCCCCTCAAACACACACGCATTCGTGCAGGAGGTGTTTGCTCCCCTCCCTCCTGGTACTAGGTAAGAAATAACCATACGCTGAAGGTGATTTTTCCAGCTTAAAAAAAAAATCCAGCAGTTTAGCTGTAAAATGTCTCTCTGGAAATGGCAGGTTTTCAACATCAGACCTCAGAATCAGGCTGCGTCCGTGAGAGGTGTCTGCACACATGGAAGTGGCAGGTCCCTCGATGCCGCTTTGTAGGGGGGGTCGACAGGTCTTTGTCTGGCCCCAGGTGAGACACAGTCCAACCGCCACATCCCGGTGCTCGAGGTGTGCAATGGTGCTACGGGACTCCTTCAAAATATAACATCTCCTGCCCCCCGCCCCAGTGTTGCATTGCAAAGCCCGAAGTAAATGCGGTTTTTTTAATTCAGGAAAGTGGCTCTACAAAAATGAGGGCTGTCCTCTGGAGTTTGGGACAGGCTGTGATGATGCTGGTTCTAGTTTTATTCCTGTAACTTGTAAGGAAGACCCACGCGGGTCCCCTCCTGCTGACCTCCCCCGTTATTTTGTCCCGTGAATGGCAGCCGCTGAGCGGGGGGACACTTTCCCCTCCGAGTTGCATTGTGTTAGGAAAGCTTTGCTGCGGGGAGCAGGCTTGTGACAGTCTTCTCTCCAGCTCAGAGAGCTGGACCCAACTCAGCCCCTCTGCTCCAGTGTCAGGGTCCCACCTTGCTGGAAGTGCCACAGTTCAGATCCTTCCTTCTCGTGTCCTTGCAACAAGCTATTTATGCAGGAGTCAAGTAACAGTGCCCCGGCATCCTAGCAGCAGTTTGGGTTTGGGTGCCTGCTGGCCTCGCTCATATTCCCTCTGTTTGGATGGAGCATTTTCCCCTTCTTGTCTTGAATTGTTGGTTTGAACAGTTCAATAGTAATCATGCTACTCCCCAGAAGTGGCTGCATTTCAGTACTGGGTCGAAGATAGAACTGGGCTGTTTAGGTGGCTGATAAAAAAAGGGCTTGCCCACTTCACAGGGGAGGGACCTGAGGCCTAATTAATGTTTGCTCTGGAAGGCATTAGCACCGGGTAAAGCACAATGGTTTTGTCACCTGTCGGCATCCCGACTCCCCCCACCTCCAGGGGAGGATTTGCGGAGCCTGGCTTAGTGGCTTCAGCAGGGGATGGCAGGGGCAGGGATCCCCGAGTTGTAATCTTTTTTCAGCCGCTGATTCTCAGTGTCGCTTTGGAGAAATCGCTTGCCTTCTTTGGGCCTCCAAAGACCCTCTCCGTCAAATGAGACTCAGAACTGTCCCGTCCTGCCCTCCCAAGGACATTTAGATAATCACTTGCATGGAAAACGAGAGTGCGGAAAGCACTGTAGAAGTGCAAAGGCTTAGGAGAAGCTGGTAAAAACCTGTGAGATCCTTTCAATGGAAAAGCACTGCCCCAAACACCTGCACCTCCTATTAAAGGTAAAGGACCAGCAGCCGGTTTGGCATCCTCTCAAGCGTCTGTGGGGATCCGGATCCACCACACTGGTCCATTGGAGCCCGGATGCAGGGCTGTGTTGCTTGCATTGAAGGAGAAATCCAGGAAGCATTGCTAGGCCGGATCCCCACCGCGGGCTAGGCGCTAGAGACGGCATCACTCATGCACACAGTCGAATGCATCATCTACTCCCCCAGAGTTAGACGAGCTTCTGAGGTTCACCCCGAGGGGTCAGACCCCACCTCTGTGCTGGAGACGGAGTTGCTATATAAATCGCACGCTCGGGAGGCTGGGACTTGAACCGCGGCTTCGAATCTAAACAAACATTAATACAAATAAGAGACTAATGCGTCCGGGAGAATCCTGAGCAATAATTAACGGGCACTGCTTGCAAGTAAGGACGTATAGGAAAGCCATTAGGATGCACATCATGCTCTTTAGTACCGTCGCTGTGAAGCAGCATGGCAGCTTTCTCACATTTTTAACCGAGGGTGGAACAGATGGTGGAGGTTTGGGATGAAGCTGATGCAGTACAGAGGAAGAGACGATACGTGGATTTAAATAACCCATGTTGCTGGCGACAATTTGTTCTAGCAAGCGTTCTGCTGGGTTAACGGGGCTTTGTTCCAGCAGCGTAAGGAGAAACGGGTCACAGAAGGACTTGGGTTGGGAAAGAAACGCCGCCTTTGTGCCGCCCTAAAAATGCTCAGTGCCAAGGCCAAGCAAGCAGACGTCCCCGTCTCCTGTCACGCCGCAAGTGCCGCCACATAGGGGGGATAAATTTGTGCCGCTTGTTCGCGCCGGATGTCTGTCTGCTGTATGGCAGGAGAGCGCAGAGAGCTGTGCAGAGGCGCGCCCAGACATTTCACCTGGGTCTTGGCTCTGCAGAGAGGGAAACCTTTGCAGAGACGTGTCCCAAGTGTTATGCCCCGGTCACTCCTGGAGCAGTCCTCGACCCTGCGGGGCGGCAGGCCATGCCTGTTTTGCCCAATGAGGCACATGCTGTGCCCGAACACGTCCTGGCGCAGCTGATCCACTTCATGTGGTGATGCCTGTTTATAGCCTCGCTGAGCAAGGGTTCACAGGAGTCGAGTCACAGAGCCCCTTGGGCGCAGGGCGTGTGGTTTCATCCATGCTAGGAGGAGGTTGGGTGCAAGATAGCGCCTTCTGGACACTGCTGCAGGACACCCCGGGGCATCCAGCCTCACCACGCGCCAGAATAATGCAAAGGCACTGGTGCCCATTTTACAGAATAGGGAAACTGAGGTATGGAGCGGATACAGCCCTTAGTTCCAGCTCATGCAAAGAACCGCATTTGCCAGGCTTTGCTCCAGGCCGTGTCAAACCTGTGGGACTTCCAAGCAGCCGGTCGCATGCCAGTGATAAGCCCCTTGAAAGAAAGGGAGGATGCAGCTGAGCGGGTGGCTTTATGACCTCCCATGAGTGTCCGGGTGCAGAAGTGAGGTTACCCATGCAGGTCAGGCACTGTGAACCAGCTCCACGCCAGCCATTGAGGAGACCGGCACGTAGCTGCAAAATGATCTCCCTTTTGGCGGTCCAGTCCCAGCGCAGCCCAGCTGCATCCACCGGGCTACCTCGGGTGAAGGATCCAGCTCAGTTCCCTGTGAACCCCGCAGCACAGCCAGCACTAACCTTCATCCCTTGCTTTTAGTCTTAGGAAGAGGCCCGGGGCTTGCAGAGCTTGTGACTCCACCCGGGAGCTGCTCCCTGCAGACTTGGGGCTCAACAACATAGCGAAGTTCGCGGGGAAGCACGTGCTACTTCTCTTTGCATTTTGTGTTGGGAAAAATACGACGATTCTCCATGGCGCTGGAGTCTCAAGGAACTTCTTGAGAGTTTGCATGGATTAGGGACCACAGAAGTATCCCTGCTTGGCTCTGGTGCCCAGCCAGGCATTATCAATGGTGAGAGGCAGCGAGTTGACAAGGGCAGCAGATCCTTTTGTGAAGAGGCGCCGTCTCTATCAAGATATTCTGAGCAGGTTTCACTGTCACCAGGGAAAGGGAAAGGGAGAGGGCCAATCTGCAGCTAGCACGCTGCGTTGCTGCTGGGCCACGGGGAAGGCACGGAGACGTCAGCAGAGGATGCTTGGCTCCGTACCTGGCCGAGAGAAGGATGCAGGTGATAGGGGTCAAGGTTTAAAGGGGTCAGGAGGAGGACTCCAGCCCGGCTGCTCAGACAGCACGTGCAGAGAGGGGGAAATGATCCTTCGTCAACTCCCTCGGGGGCTTTAGAGAGGATGTCTGAAACTTGGTCCCCTTGAGTCCCAAAGCAACAGGGCAGCTGTGATTCATTGGGTCCAATTGCTGATGATTGGAGGCAATGGGAAGCCCCCAGCTGGCTTTGAATCAGGCCTTTTACTCACCATCCAGGGAGATGGATGGGAATAGAGTCCTTTGAGGTCCAGCGTCTTCTGGCTCTGCCTGCCCCAGTACCAGCCCTTTCTCCAGGCTTCTTCCACAGCCCTCCTCCCAGAGCCCCTGTCCATGTCTGAGCACTCCCAATCTCACCGGAGACTCATAAGCAATCCAGTCTCCCTCCAGCTACTCCTCCAGAGCACGCCTCGCCCCGCACCCAGCTCTACAACCCCCTCATTCTTATCACGTCTTCCCTGTGCCCGGTGAGCCCGTTTGCCTTGGAGCAAAAGGCTACGCTGAGACAAGCCGTGGGCACGCAACCATTAAAATGCAATGCACGTTCCCCAATTCTCCCATGGGTGTAGAGCTGTCATGTGCATGCTGCACCCATTTTACAGATTACACTGGTGTGAAGGTGTGTCCTGTCCCTGCTCTTGGAGCACCCTTGTTTAGAGCCGAGCAAGGGTTGGGCCGTAGTTGCCTATCGCCTGCTTTAACCCTGTCGGATAGACTACAGCTGGCCCCCACCATAAAGTGCTATCACATGCACAAAGCAAAGACATCGTTAAAAAAGGGGGAAAGTACCTTATTCCCCCTCGAATCCCTTTCCAGCACTGTACAGACATCGCCGGCACTTCTGGAACGACGCTCGGTAAATAGTTTTCAGAAGCGCGATGTTTAACATGACAGCATCCTTTTAAAAACCTTTTCATCTCAGGGGGTTGTTGATGTAGCAAAAGGATTTGGCCTCCTTTACATGACTATTGTCATCCCGTCTGTCTTCGAGTGCTTAGGGGTATGTCTGCGCTGTGCCCAGTGCCCCACACACCAGTGCTCACACCCCCCCAAACTGGACCTGGAGCGGTGGGCTCAGCCTCTGACACGGCTGTGGGGACAGGGTGACCCCAGAGCTGCACGACCACTGCATTTCCAGGCTCGGTGTGTGCAAGCCGTGCAGGTAGGTGGGTTGTACGTGGCAGCATCCCCTACTAGGACCGCTGGGAACACTCCTACAGCAATCAAATCTACCCCAAAACCCAGCCCTTTCCCCAGC